CTAGTGTCTTGTGTATGCAAATAAGGCATCTTGTGCTCTCCTAAATTACAAAGAATACCTCCTCTTCAACTTATTTACCTCGATGCATCACGACCATTGCATCCATGACCTTTGTCAAATAGGTTGGTAATGTTCCTGTCCAGGCTCCAAACCTTCGCGATACGCTCCTTTAAGATAATAAGCAATATGAAAGAAATGTGTAGGTTTATTGATTGTTGTTGAAGTGGTTTAGCAGTTGGTTTCGCATCCGAGGGAATCAAATACACCAAGATAAATGTACATACTGTTCATTTCTGGGATTGTTATGATTCCTGGTAGTCGTAGTGTTGTTGCAAAGTAGAAGGTGAAGTTTTATTCCCAAGCAACAAGCCACAGAACCTTGGATTTGTTTACCATAGCTGTGAAGCCAGCCAGTATAAAAAGCTGTTTGGCACAAACCTGTTTATGTTAGCAAAATGTGTTTTCTGCTGATAAGAAGCTGTATCTTGAAGGTTAGAACTCTGAAAAGAAAACATTTGCTGTTTTACGCACTTGTGGAGAAGAAAATATACACATTCATTAAGATAAATTTATGTAATTAATCCTAAACAGTCAGTGGAAACTGTGCAATTTCCCTAAGAGCTATTTCTGTGATAGTGAGAATTCACTAAATGCAGATATTTTGCTTGTATCTATCCTTGTGTCCCTTTCAGACAGTCCCACCCTGGGATTATTTTCTGGTCGGCGATGACTCGCTGGCGTTTCATTGGTTGATCTGTTGTAAACGTTGATATTGTTTCTTCATACCATTCTTGATGAAGATTAGGTGCAAGAATGGCACTGGTGGTTCTGGTAGATAATTGTGGCAGCTATTTGCTGTTTTTGATGATTGTTGGTAATTAATTATGTACGTGGGGATACTTAACAGACAACTTGTGTACCTTATACATATCTGTGTGCATCTACTTGTAGAGCCCTACACCTGATCATTGTTTCATGATGCGAGACATTGAGGATTGACAAAAGTAGCATTGGTTTTTGGATGTCATCATTTTTCAAAGAAAGGTCATCCCAGAATGCCAGCTGAGATTTTTAACTACTTAAAAAACAAATGACCCACATTTTCTAAGGAACATGATTCCACTTGCACTCAGTTCCGTACACCTGACACTGGTCAGTCCACCCATGAGGATGTGTTGGAGAAAGTCCTCAACTTGGGATTAATTTGCTTGTGATGTTTCGTTCATGGACGTGTCTTGTTGATGACAATGATTGATTCAAAGCATATTCTGCTAAAGATATTATTCACAAGTTACATGTTGGAAGGAACGGACTTGTATTTCATTCTCATCCATAACACCCTCAGTGAACGGACTAGTAGTTCATTCTCATCCATAACACCCTCAATGAACGGACTTGTAGTTCATTCTCATCCGTAACACCCTCAATGAATGAGCATTCCCAATATTATGTGACCTGATGACGCTGATAAGGCAAGGCATGTTACTTCAACGTTGTAATGGCATTGCAAGACAGTGACAGCGAAAGAGTTTTTTGATTTACAGTGTATGGGCTATATTCCTGCATATAATTTTTTAAAATTTATGTATGCAGTACCATCCACTCATAGTATTGAAGCCTGCATTGTCTCACATTTTATGATATTTTACAACCAATATCGCAAATGATGAAATATAAGCTCATGCCAAAGTTCCAAATGAGACCAATATTGTGATTATTATCACATCAGCAAAATATTTTTTCACAAACACTTAAAGTGATTCAAAAGGCATACGCTGATGTTAACGAACCAATGAGATTCTAGTATTCTCCAAATTTATGTAGAATGATACATCAAACGATTCACACCCTTTAGCAATATAGAATCAAATTTGTAAAGACTTCTAAATCAATTGTATTACGTTATGTAATTTTTAGATTTTTCCATCCTTCCAGATTTATTTATGTCTTCGGACAAGCAGTGCCTAATCTTGTGTTTGTATTATGTTTGCTATTTTGTATTCAAGATTCAGAGACCCCTTTGCTGAAAAAAGGGGTTGGTGAAGGTGTTGTAATCGAGATAGACTTCAAGTGCATAGCAAAACTCCTGAGTTCAAGTGGCACAAGAGCGGTTGAAGTCGGCAAGGAAACAAAGTGTTTCAGTTTACTAATAGGGTCATGGAGGTCTTGAGTCGTGTGATGTGGGTTTAGGTAATAATCATTCATCCGCTCAATTGTGCATGCAACCAGGAAAAAAAGGAGTGGTAACATTTGAGATGTCTTGACACTTGTGTTGAAATTAAAAGTGATGGATACCGGAAACTTGTGTAACTAAGCAGGAACTCACCCTTGGTGCAGCTGCCTTTGGTCGGCCACTTCGAATTACGGATGATTTTGGAAAAAAATGATTAAAATGTTTTTTGTGAAACAGGGAAACTAGATTCAGCTGGAATGAGGTCAAACTGTGTCTTGTATATCTGGTAAATACTCAACGTTTCAACAAGCAAAGAAATGTTTTCCTGGCATTTTTTTCAGGATTTGCTTTTTGCAAACCCTAGTTGAGAACGGTCAATATCATCCATTTTAAGCAACATGGTTCATATTTGAGGTAAACAGATAAATAAATAGATGATAAAATAATATTGCTGGAAAAGTGTCAGATGAACACCACATATTCAGCTTCATTGCCTGATTTGGATGATAACTTTATTTCTCGAGTCCTTGGGTCTTGTGGCAATGAGCCTTTCATAGACAGGTAATGTTGCAAAAACTGCTGCCAATTTCCTGAAGAAAAAGTCGTTTCAGGTGTTACGATTGATGAGCACAAGCAGTGACAGGTTTGCTTCTGCCAAGTGTTTTTTTCATCAGGAATATTTCTAGAATGTTTAGGCTGTTTTGTGGTAAAAATTCCCAATTATGTAACCTTTCTGTCATTGTTTCAGAAATAATTGAAGAACAGAAAAAAAAGTCTTTAAAAAAAATGAAATCATGACATGATTCAAATATTCACCCAGAAGTGTCAGTGTTTTTACAATATATCCAGGTACACATGTATTTCTGTCTTAAATAACCGAAACAATGGGGATTCTGGATCAAAATAAGTGGGAATTTATTTGGATTCCAAACTAAGGGCTTTTGATAGGTGAAACATGTGAAATGGTGGAAAAGTGTTCTGTCTAAAATTGGGAATTTTCAAAGTTCTTATTTTCTTAAATACAATAAAGTAAAATTGAATATTTAAACCCATGTCCTCTTTATTAAGTCCAGTTATAGGTAAAGCAGAAGTAACCTTTGCACAGTGATTTTTATAACATAAGTTGTGGTTGTGATAACTGATTGTAGATTATGAATCCAAGTTTGGATTGTTTGCCAACAAGTGCTTGAAGCCTTATATATCAGCAACTGAGAATGCCTGATATCTCTGATAGGTTCATGTGGTGTAAGAGCCCACCAACATGTGGATTTGGGTCTTGTGATTTGGTTTTGTCATTGAATCCTGATTGAGTCCTTGGTAGCATGGGAGTTGGCTAGGCATGTCAATCACGGGTTTTCCTGGCCAGAGTAGATTTTTAACAAGCATATTGTCAACGATGATCAGTTTCAAATGAAATTAGTTCCTTTTGGAACAAATCATTGCACGCCTGTTCAGATCTGGGTTAGAATTAGTCTTCAGCAACCCATGCTTGTTGTAAGAGGCTTACTAACAGGATCAGGTGGTTAGGCTCGCTGACTTGGTTGATGCATGTTATCATATCCCAGTTGCCCAGACTGATGCTCATGGTGTCAATCACTGGATTGTCCGGTCTAGACTCGATTATTTTCAAACCGCAGTCATATAGCTGTAATATTAAGTAAGGATAAGAATTTATGGATGAACAACTTCTTTATTACAATTATTGCGACGTTTCGGTGTAGGTTCTAACGCCGTTATCAAGCAATTGTAATCCTTACTTAAATTCTTATCCTTACTTAGTACTCCAACTTCTAAATGCCTATCAAAGAAGCTGAAATATTGCTGATTTGCGACTTTAAAAAGCAAACAGACGAACAAACAAATATTGTCAGTATAAATGTATTATGCAAAAAGATTTCCCAGTAAAGACTGATTCATTGGAATAACTGCCCAATGGAAATATAGTACAAAGAAACAATTTCACTTCAGGAACAGATACTCTTTGACAATATAATAGTAGTTGGATGATACAACGATCATCTGTGGATCATGATTGTTTACTTCTCGATACAAGTATCGAACGCAGTCGCACACTTAGTAAAAAATATGGATTCTTACATGAAATATTTGCTTTAATAACTGTTAAACCAAACACTAATTAGTAGTGAAAAATAGCAGTGAAAACATGATTTTCATTCATCGCGCCATACTTGACACTGCCAACTGTAAATCATCACTGTGCCATGTATATGGCCATCCTGTCTATGAAAAGATGGCGTATGCACCAAAGATAAGAGCACATGCAAATATTGTGATACGTATCAGATTGTGAGCAAGGTACCGTGATACAGTTGGTGTATCATTACAACCATACAATATAACTGTAATATTGACCCAGCCTTACACTATAACTGTAATATTGTCCCAGCCTTACACTATAACTGTAATATTGTCCCAGCCTTACACTATAACTGTAATATTGTCCCAGCCTTACACTATAACTGTAATATTGACCCAGCCTTACACTATAACTGTAATATTGTCCCAGCCTTACACTATAACTGTAATATTGTCCCAGCCTTACACTATAACTGTAATATTGTCCCAGCCTTACACTATAACTGTAATATTGTCCCAGCCTTACACTATAACTGTAATATTGTCCCAGCCTTACACTATAACTGTAATATTGTCCCAGCCTTACACTATAACTGTAATATTGTCCCAGCCTTACACTATAACTGTAATATTGTCCCAGCCTTACACTATAACTGTAATATTGCTGACTGTGGAGTGAAACAAGTCATTCCAAAACCAACATTATTATATTATTGATATTTGTTTTCAGGAGTTGTGATTGGGCGAAACAACTTCTGTGCCTACTATGACAATGCTCCCTCCTCGGACACTGTTAAAAGCAACGTAAAAAATGGGGAGGCATCAGATGTTGCGACCTTGGGCGGTGAGGTCATGTTGGATAACCGTACTATACACTGTTTGGATGACAACAACTTCTGCTACACACTGTGGGCTGTCAACGTCACATCAGACAAAGAAATCATCATCAAACAAGGTAAGAATGTACAAAAACCAAAAGGTAACTAGGTTACATGTTCAATTTAATCCTCTTGTGGAAACCTCAGCATTATTACTGCAATAATAGGTAGGGCTTATATGATATACCATATTTCCTCACAGATTGACATTCTAATGACCTTTTTGTGTTTTTGGAGGCTGGTGTTTCTTGGAAATCTGGCTTCCATTAAGGGCTGGTGTATCTTTGATATCCTGTTTCAATTAGAGGCTGGTGTATCTTGAAGGTCCGGCGCCCAATAGAGGCTGGTGTATCTTGAAGGTCCGGCGCCAGATAGAGGCTGGTGTATCTTGAAGGTCCGGCGCCCAATAAAGGCTGGTGTATCTTGAAGGTCCGGCGCCCAATAAAGGCTGGTGTATCTAGACGGTCCGGCGCCCAATAGAGGCTGGTGTATCTAGAAGGTCCGGTGCCCAATAGAGGCAGGTGTATCTTGAAGGTCCGGCGCCAAATAGAGGCTGGTGTATCTAGAAGGTCCGGCGCCCAATAGAGGCTGGTGTATCTTGAAGGTCTGGCGCCCAATAGAGGCTGGTGTATCTTGAAGGTCCGGCGCCCAATAAAGGCTGGTGTATCTTGAAGGTCCGGCGCCCAATAAAGGCTGGTGTATCTAGACGGTCCGGCGCCCAATAGAGGCTGGTGTATCTAGAAGGTCCGGCGCCCAATAGAGGCAGGTGTATCTTGAAGGTCCGGCGCCCAATAAAGGCTGGTGTATCTTGAAGGTCCGGCGCCCAATAAAGGCTGGTGTATCTAGAAGGTCCGGCGCCCAATAGAGGCTGGTGTATCTAGAAGGTCTGGCTTCCATTAGAGGTTGGGGTATCGTGGACATCCTGCTTCCATTTAAGTCTGGTGTATCTTTGGGACCTGCTTCCAATAGAGGCTGGTGTATCTTGGAGGTCTGGCTTCCAATAGAGGCTGGTGTATCCTGGAGGTCGGGCTTTCATTTAAGGATTGTGTGTCTTTGAGGTCCTATGGGCCAGTGTCTATTGGAGGTCCTTTATCCATTACAATAGACATTTCTAACATGCTGTCAAACGTGGCTGCATATAAACCAATCAGTTATTTGTGAGGGGTGGAGAGGGGTTTTCTTCATGGTGGGCCATAGTGAATCTTGAGAGTGTCATGAAATGATGTGGGGTTCATCGGGAGGATTTGAGGGAAGGTCATAAAAAACTGGCAAGTTGGTCTGCAGTTAAATATTTATGGCATTGGTCTAATGGGCTGCTGTAGCAATTTTGCACTATTGGAGAGGGACATGAAATAAAAGATCAAGGACTTGGATCCAAATGAAACCTGTGACGGGCCGTGGTACACATTCTGCAAGAGCAAGATCCCTGTACATTTACAGCAAATGTGAGATGCACATTAGAGGGTTGCAAGGGTTGTATCATGTTACATTTCTTTACGACTTATAATATTCAGATATGCCATTTTTTGTCAAATTTGTGTTGCCAGACAGTTATATCTACCTTGTTGCCTGGAACTGTTGTGGACCTTGAACTGTGGTGAACCTTGAACTGTTGTGAACCTTGAACTGTTGTGAACCTTGAACTGTTGTGGACCTTGAACTGTTGTGAACCTTGAGCTGTTGTGAACCTTGAGCTGTTGTGAACCTTGAACTGTTGTGGACCTTGAACTGTTGTGAACCTTGAGCTGTTGTGAACCTTGAACTGTTGTGAACCTTGAACAGTTGTGGACCTTGAACTGTTGTGAACCTTGAACTGTTGTGAACCTTGAACAGTTGTGATCATTGAACTGTTGTGAACCTGGAACTGTTGTGAACCTTGAACTGTTGTGAACCTTGAACTGTTGTGATCCTTGAACTGTTGTGAACCTTGAACTGTTGTGATCCTTGAACTGTTGTGAAACTTGAACTGTTGTGGACCTTGAACTGTTGTGATCCTTGAACTGTTGTGAACCTTGAACTGTTGTGATCCTGGAACTGTTGTGAACCTGGAACTGTTGTGAACCTTGAACTGTTGTGATCCTTGAACTGTTGTGAACCTTGAACTGTTGTGATCCTTGAACTGTTGTGAACCTTGAACTGTTGTGATCTTTGAACTGTTGTGAAACTTGAACTGTTGTGGACCTTGAACTTGTGTGAACCTGGAACTGTTGTGAACCTTGAACTGTTGTGGACCTTGAACTGTTGTGAACCTTGAACTGTTTTGGACCTTGAACTGTTGTGAACCTTGAGCTGTTGTGAACCTTGAACTGTTGTTGACCTTGAACTGTTGTGAACCTTGAACTGTTGTGGACCTTGAACTGTTGTGAACCTTGAACTGTTGTGAACTTTGAACTGTTGTGGACCTTGAACTGTTGTGAACCTTCACCTGCTGTGAACCTTCAACTCTTGTGAACCTTGACCTAGTGGACTAGGGACACTGTAAAAACAATTAATTGAAATTCTTAATGTCAACTGTGTCTTTGTAGTTCATCTCCTGCCTCATAGCAATATTTCATTGCACATTTAGTGAACATACGTAAATACATAAACCAGCCTCAGATCAGCCTAGGCTCCGTTCCACAAAGTAATTGTGGTGTGATGACTGTCATAAGTCCATGTTAAAGTATGGGAACTATGATCGTCTTGGCACTACAGTGCTTTGTAGAAGGGGGCCCTGGACTCATTTGCAGACTCACATGCTATAGTTGTAACATCGGTGACGTAAAATGCCATTCACTCACGTCCAGAGTACATGCTGCTGTGAAACTGACTTATGGTTTCAATGATTGAACAGTTATTCCTATCAGATTTTGGTGCACGTCTGGCCCAAACACCTAAGGCACTGCAATTTGCTGTGCACAGTTGCGTCCCTTGGGCATGCCGAAACCTATGAATGTGGGTTCAAATTCAGGTTCCGCCCAATAATGTTTCTAGGTTTGTCAGCACCATACCCGTGCTCTTGGGTTGCACCAAAGTGGTAAACGTCTGAAACCTGCAACACTTTGGGCCTTTCCTCTCACATCAAGCTGACGTATTGTGATATAACTAGAATACTGCTCAAAAAGGCTTCAAGCCCCACTCACTCGCTCACTCACTCACTTATCAGATTTATTATCATGTGTATGTGGATTAATAGGCTTATCATGAAACTATGTCATTGAATTCATGAGGCCGCTGGCCAGTCCTCTTGCAGGAATAGTATCAGAACGTCCTCCCTGATCAGATCATGGTGTGCGACTGGGGCTCTCCTGATGAAATGACTTTGTAGGTGATGTCTTGTCTCCCCAGTCTGGTCAGTGAGTCCAGTACTGAGTGCCCAGACTGTCAAATTAGAGCTTGTCACGAAACTAGAAGCCAACATTTTGAGCAAGAGTTAGTAGCAGGTGGAGAGTATATTATGGACACTACTAGCATGACTAGTCACTCATGCAAATACTGAAACTAAAATAGCCAAAATTCCCAAGCAAGTCTTCAATACATTGGCAGATCTAGATTTCTTCTGGTTAGTTTCTGAAAATTAAAAGACTCGCTCTGGGTTCCTTTTTATTATACATTATAAAAATTCTTTAAAATCTCAAAAGAATTATTTCTGACTTAATGTTAGCCTCACATGTAAGTAGCTAGGGCCTTATCACCTGATGTAGCGTAACATTTAAATAAAACATTGCAAAATTGATTTCATTTTACCTATTTCCATGATTTCCTTGTGCATTTGGATCCAAATGAAACCTTAATTATTAATTAGAACGAGCTGTGTCATGGTGTCCTGTGAAGTTGTACCCTTCAACTGGGCCAAGAGCTAAGCAAGTCAAGGAATGGTGGCAGGATCAATCATCCACTCGTCTCAGGCTCAGATATTACTGTTGTAACAGGAATTCTGTTCAAAATGGCTTTAAACCCAGCTAATCAACTCTGATGAATTAATGCAATACTTAAACAGCATACCAGGGTACTCAGGTACTCAGGGTACTGAGTGTTTTTTTATTTCCCCTTTGCACAGAACACTTACCCATGCATTTAACAAACACCGGGGCCTCTCATGTCAAAAGTTCATTGTTCACATAAACAGTAAAGTTAATTTTCAAACTCTGGGATTTAGAAATGGGTTTGTAATGCCTCACAAAGTACTATGTCTTTGCAATATCTGGAGTTGACTGTTCATATAAAATATTGAATGCATTATATTTCTACTTCATTCTGCAAATATATAAAATGTCAAGATTCTTTGACAAACACCTTGTATGGGTATAGAAAAGGGTGTTTAATTTTGGAATGAGGCAGTAATATGATACAGTACTGAAGTCTGAAATTTATGTTTCATTGAAACTGAAACTCACAATTGTTTATAAGGTCTAGACTGAAAACAGATCTTCTTTCTGGGCATGAAAGAAATAAAATGTAAGTGCCAATTTGTAATTAATTTAGAATTTTTTATGTGCTACGGCTTAAAAAAGTGACTGGAATCTAAAGTGTCTGAACCTGAAATGTTGATATGGTTTAAAAGCTGTGGAAAAGACTGCTATCTTTTATCAGCCGTCCCAGACATCTGATCATGGCTACGCTATAAACCGAACAAGGGGGGCTTCATAAAAACTTTCCCACTACTCATGAGAAAATAACAAAAATCATGCTCTCCTAACATATGAGCCCTTGTCTTCTGTTGGATCAAGTGCTTTCTGATTTTCTCAGTTACAATTTCGGAATGAGATATATTTTTTTCGTTTCTGGAAATTTCACAGATCTTTTTCATATCTGCTGCTGTGTAAGGGGTTTAACATTTCAGAATAGCAGTCACACTATGGCCTCAGAACATTTGTTTTGCTGCCTATCATTGTCATTAGGAGCTACACATACATATTTTATTGATGATTAGAAAGTTTACAAACCTTAAGTATATTTGTTAACAACTGTTAAATGTCAAGTTGCCCCCAGTTATTTTTATAGAAATCTGTTTGTGTGCATTTTCAGTGCATCTACAGAATATTAATGATTTATAGAAAGGATCATAGGATGTTTGTCCAGATCTGTTGTATAACAA